TCCCCCCTTACTCCTGGGTGCCTGGAAGGGGTGGCCCCCGAGCTGGTGGTCGAGGGCCTGCCGTGGGGACTGGAAGCGGGAGGACTGGCCATGCAGCCTCCTGGGGTAGCTCGTTTTTTTGGACCGGGTAGAATATTTTTTCAGGCGCCAATCCCTTTCCTGTTGTGGGCCCCACTGGGTGGTCCGTCATCCTCAGGGGCTGTGAGTATGGGGGAGGGTCTCTGATCTGAACTTGAGGGTGGGGTGGGGAGTTGTCTCCTGGGGGTAACATTGCTGTGTCCTCTCCTGCTGTGTCCCCGCTGTGGCTTGGGTTGGGTTTCCTTTTGGACAGAGGAATCAAGGAACCCCACTCTGGGGTTGGAAGGGACCCAGGCCCCGCACCCAAGACCCGGAAGGGGCCTGTTTCCCCACTTTTGGGTGCAGGAGGTGGTGGAACCCAATCCCTTTTGTTCCAGAACCTTCATGTCTCCCAATTGGGGACTGCTGGGTTTGGATGGCACCAGCCTGGCAGGACCTAGGAATGGGTGCCTGGGGTCCTGGCAGAGGGAGGCAGGGGACACCCTTCTGGAGCTGGGCTCGGAGGGTCTGCCCTGTCCAGCCTCCTCCACCCGTGCACGCAAACCTCCTCTGTCTGGCAGTGTTAGTGAGATGCCTTAGTCCGTGGGGTGGGGGGCTGGGGCCCTGGTTTCCTGTGTGTCTTTGTCTGGGTGTCTCTCGGTTGGTCCCAGCCCTGGCTGGTGCCTGTCTGAAGGGGGGTAGGGCTGTAGAATTTCTCTACCCCCCTGCGGGGGGGACACCTGCACCCACTCCTCCCCCCACGAGCTGGTGGTCGTTGGGACCTGGTTCCAGCCATCTGGCTGTGGCCTCTGAAGGGCGGGCAGGGGAGGAGGCCCCCAGGGACTCGTGCTTTCCTCGGTGGCACCCCCTCCCCCGCCCTGCCTGGCCTCATCCTTGTATTTAATGAAGCCCTTTTTTAAACGCTAGTCCAGTGTCTGTGTGGTTCTTTCCACCGCTGGCGCCAGGCCTGTGGGCTCTGTGAGCGCCTCTGTCCCACCTACCCGTGTGGCCCCAAGGTCATCAGCCTCATCCTGGGGAAACTGAGGCAGCGGGCTAGTGAGTCCAGGGGTCTGGTGGGGTCTGGCTGGGACACAAAGTACCGACCCTCCCCCCAGCCCTAAGGCCCGGGGAGGGGGCTGCCTGCAGCCCTGCGTGGCGCCCAGTGTCACCCACGCTTCGCGCAGCTGCGCCCCCAGCCCGGCTAACCGCTTTGTTACCCAGCAACCGAGGCGCGGTGACACGGCGCCCGGGGGCGTCCGCAGCCCGCCCCCTTCCGGCGCCCGCGGGGGCTGGGGGGAGCGTCCCTGGAGCAGCTCCCGGGCGCCACAGACTCCTCCCCAGGGGGGGCCCCCGTCCACCCCAACCCACCCTGCCATCCTTGCCCCGCCGGGCTCCAGTGCCCAGTCGTCCGGCCGTTCACGTATTGAGTGCCTACTGTATGCGCTGTCCCCATTGAGAAGGGGGTTGGTGCTGGATGGGGAGGGAACTCAGTGCTGCCGGGAGCATTGAGAAGCTGGGGACGGCTTTAGACTCCTCCGTAGGAAAAAGGCACTCCCGATCCCACCATCCCCAGAGCTCCGAAGCCTGGAGGCTGGGGTGGGGGCAGGACAGACCCTCCCCCACGCATCTGCTCTCCCTGGGGTTTCAACTCAGTCCCGGCCCCGAAGAAAGCGGTGGCCGCCACCTGATGGCCGCCGCTGGTATTGCGCAGCCGGTGCTGCCAGCGTCCGCCCCAGGACCAGTGTGACCGCCACCTCCCTGGTCTCCGGGTGACCCTCGCCCCACGTCTGTCTTCTCCGCAGCAGCCAGAGGGCGCCACTGAGCACCTGATCGGTCCCGTCCGTCCCTCTGCCCACAGCCCTCCATGGCTCCCACTTCCCTCGGGGTAAAAGCCCAAGTCCTCCCTGCAGCCCTCCAGGCCCTGCACGACCTGCCCCATCCCCTCCCTCTCTTCCCCTCTATCACTCTGCTCCAGTATGCCAGGCACAGTCCTGCCTTAGGGACATTGCACCTGCTGTACCCTCTGCCTAAATGCCCTTTCCCCAAACGACTACTTGGCTCCCTTTTTACCTTCTTCAAAACTGCTCAAATCCCATCTCCCCAGGACTACCCAGATCAGCCCTTTCTGCAGCCCCTACGCTGCTTTACTTTTTTCTTCCCCATAGTGCTTTCCATTGGTATCACTATCTCACTGCTTTATGTCCTATATTCGTGGTCTCCCTTGTCTACAGTGCCACCTCCAGCAGGGTGGGGCTCTTTGCTTTGCTCATGGATGTTTCTAGCATCGTCTGGTACTTAGTAGGTGCTCACTAAATATTTGCAGAATGAAAAACTGAGACCAGCTAGCATTGGCAGAGCACTTGCTGAGTGCAAGCTTCGAGATGATATTTCATTTCACAAGCACCCTTAGGAGCCAGGCTGAGGCATCCACCCTTCTGCTGCCAGTGAGGGAAAGGCTTTGAGAGAGACACCTGAGTGAGGGGTCTCAACCCCAAATGCACAGTGGCCAGGTAGCCCCGGCGACCTGGGAGTGGACTGGGAGAGACAGTAGACAAATGGCACAGTCCTCCTTCCCGCGCTCAAAGGGGCTCCTTAGCAACTGCCAGCTGGTGGACCTGGTTTGACCGGCTGTTCATAGAGAAGCTGGGAGTCGAAATTTTTATGTACTATCTCCCCCCCAGCCTTTTTTTTTTTTTTTTGGTGGCTGTCTGGTATTAGGATCTGAACCCTTGACCTTGGTGTTATGACACCATGCTCTAACTAACTGAGCTAACCAGCCAGCCTCCCCAATTTTAAAACATGTGCAACAAACAAATTCATATCATTTAAAAAACTGGTATGCAAACAAAACCGGTGCCCACACAAACACATGTGCACAATATGTTCATAGCAGCATGATTCCTGACCCAAATGCCTATTAATGAATGAATGGATAAACACAACAAAACAGAACATAATCCATCCACACACTGGAACATTACTCAGCCATGAAAAGGAACGACGCTGCCACACGCTACCACATGAATGGACCTTGAACACATCACGCTCAGCTGACAGATGACAAACACAAAAGGCCACATAGTGTGTGTGTGATTCCATTTATATGAAATGTCCAGAACAGGCCAATCCAGAGACAGAAAGTGGATTCGTGGTTGCTGGGGGCTGGGGGAGGAGGTGGGGAGTGACTGCTGATGGGGATGGGGTTTGTTTTGGGGTACTGAGAATGTTCTGGAATTGGAATTAGTGGTGATAGTGGCACAATACTGTGTTCATATCAAATGCCACTGAACTGTTCACTTTAAAGTTGTGAATTTCATGTTATGTGAATTTCACCTCAATAAAAACAAAAACCACTGAATGAATGGAACACAGGATGGATTTGTCCAGAAGGTTTGTCCCATTTACTACACTCCCCACCCCCAAAGCCTCTGCTTGTGTGTCTTGTTTCCAATCATTCATGTCTGATCCCAGTTATTAGACATTTATTGTAGAGTTTTGTCCACCCATAGAGTTAGACACATTAGAATTGAGGGTTCATTCATTCCACACTCATTGATTCACCAAACAGGTCTGTGTTGTGAGTTCTGGGCCCAGCTGGGCCCTGGGGTCCACAGGATCGTGACCCAAGGACCCCCCCCAGTCTGGTGGGGGATGGGTGGAGATGGACGTTCATAAATAACTACACTATCAGGCAATGAGAAGGCCATGAGGGTACGGTGATGGGAAATCCCCAGGGCAGAGAGTGGCTTTCTCCATTTGACAGACGTTAGCCATGGGTCAGGCTTTGGAAAAACACTTCGATCAGCTCTGCAGAGTCATCCCTGACCCATCCCAGCCCACCTGCCCCGTGTCCCTTATATATTTATAATTGTTGTAAAAACATACACAACATAACATTTACCATCTTAATTATTTTTAAGTGCACGGTTCCATGGCATTAAGCACATTCACATGGCTGTGCAGCCATCACCACCATCATCTCCAGAACTTTCTCATCTTCCCAAACTGAAACTCTGTCCCAATCAAACACTCAGTCCCCATCCCCCTCCTCAGCCCCTGGCACCCCTCATTCTACTTTCTGTCTCTGTGGATCTGACGGCTCCAGGGATCTCCTGTGAGTGGAATCACACGGTATCTGTCCTTATTTCACTGAGCACAGTGTCCTCAAGGTTCATCCACGTTGTAGCACGTGCCAGAATTTCCTTCCTTTTAAAGGCTGCATAATATTCCTTTGTAGGAATGGACCCATTCATCCATTGACAGACACTCGGGTTTCCACCTTTTGGCTATTGTGAACAGCGCTGCTATGGACATGGGTGTACAAACATCTCTGTGCGACCTGCTCTCTATTCTTTAGGGTATATGCCCAGCAGCGGAGTTGCTGGGTCAAGTGGTAACTCTGCCGAACTTCCTGAGAAATACTCAGGCTGTTTTTCACAGCGGCTGTCCATTTTACATTTCCACCACAATGTTCCAGGGTATTCTTCCACCTTCCCATTGAGACGTGGACCTGCCCCACCAGACAGGGAGCCCCTCGTCCCGCCTTGTTTCCCATTCCTCTGTTTCAGTGTACCATCTAGGGACGGACCTGGTATACAGCAGGCGTTTAGTATTTTGTGAACAAATGTGTCAATGTGAACGTGGGGATTAGATTTCTGACAAGAGTCCAGGCGGGAGAGATCAAGGCATTCATGGAGAGCCAACTGTATACCAGGGCGAGGTGCGTTTCAGGGTGTAAACACTAGGTAACGCACCTGTGGATTTCCCCGGTACAGGTTAAGACCCGCCCGCAGGACTCACCTCGTCCAGCAGAGGGCGATTTAAGGTGCTATGCTAACGACACGCAAATGAGATGCAAATGAGCCACAGCCCGGCCCAGAGGGGCTTTTTCTGGTCAGGCGCGCCGTGGACATCCCAGGCGCCTTAGGGGCCCGGGCTTCAAGATGGCGCCGCTGCCGCCGCGGAGAGCCGAGCGGAGGCGCCGGCGAGGCTCCGAGACACCGCAGGCAGGGCAGCCCGCACCCTCCATACCTCTTCCCGCGGCCGCCTGTCCCAGCCCAAGGGCCCGCCCCCGCTTTCGGTCCCGAGGGAGTAGGTGTTTCTGAGCAGGCGCGCGGCGGACAGCCCCTCCCGGGGTCCCTTGCGGCGGCGTCCCGGGGGCCTCCGGGGGCCTCGGAGCAAGATGGCGGCGGCGGCGGCGGGGTCCGTGAGGCGCGGGCGGCGGC